TGGTTCGATGACCGCGTCACCGCCACGCTCGGGGTCATCCTCGGCGAACCCGTCACGCAGAGGGCGCGTGACATCGCGGCACTCCCGATCCGCCAGGGAGGCTGCGGCCTGCGGCGGCAGGTGGACATCGCCGCTTTCGCGTTCTCGTGCCTCGGTGAAAAGGGCAAGCAACGCACCAAGACAGCTGAGTTGGAAGAAAAACGCCACAGCGACCTCTACGAAACCCTGACGGGTCCTGATCGCAAGGTGTTCGCCGCCAACATGGCCCCTGGTGCAGGCCGGCCCCTCACCGACCCACAGATCCTCGTGGATGACCGCGGATTCGCCGTCTACCTCAAGGAGCGCCTGCTCATGCGGGTGCTGCCGGAGGGACAGCGGTGCGTCTGTGGCCAGGATGCGACAAACGACCACGTCCACACGTGCCCCCGGCTGCAGCAGCAGCCCCGCACAGTACGCCATGACATGATCAACATGGCCTTTGCCCACGGACTGCAACTCTGCGGGTTCCACTGTGCCACGGAACCGCGGCTCACCGAAGTCAGCCGCCAGCGCCCGGACATCCTCGTCGTCGGGATGGACACGTACGCCGTCACGGACGTGACCGTTACGTACCCGGGACGCGCCACCACAGGCACCGCGGACGAGCCCCTGAGCACCGCCGACCCCATCCGAGCGGCCAGGGAACGTCTGAGGCAAAAGAGGCAGAAGTACCGTCACTGGGCCCTCGGTAACGGTCTGGACTTTGAGCCGTTCGTCATGCTGACCAACGGAGCAATCCACCCGACAAGCCGCTGGTGGCTCAAGCGGATCCTGGGAAACCAGGACCACCGCCTGACCATCACGACGGCTTTCGACTTCATCCTCTCCGACACCCTGGCCGCACTCCTGCGGGGTACATCCCATGTGTACAACGCAGCGTGCGGTCGGGTGAGCCGGTCGTAGTGGGCGAGACTGCGACTTGCACTTCCCCTCCCCTTGTGTAACAACCTCGGAGGAAAGCAACCACTCCGTGATGAACTCGCCACCCACAGAATGTATATCGGAAGTGCAATCAATCATAGAAAACCTACCCCTCCCCCCGCCACCGCCCACCGATAGGACCATAAGGGCTTCTCTTTTCATTGTGCAAGCAACTCGCCCCAGACGGGCGGTGCGGGGTTGTAGGCCAGGGGGTGGTCTAAATACTAACTTTTTTACTATGAGAGCGACCACCCCCTCCTCCTCCTCGGGAAATAAATATAATATCAGGTTTGTTTTTTGGTTCTAGTGGAAATGGGGGCCATGAAGTTGGTCACATACCCTTGGTGCGATTATTGATACAGTTTCTGTACTATATTGGTATGAGAAGCTTCCGGAATTGCCAATTCCCTCTCCGCGGTAACATTTTGCTGCGGCGCNCGCGTGCAAGTGCCCATTTGGGCGCCAAAACACACAACACACCAACAACAACAACCAAAACACGCCGCGGCGGGCGTGGCGAGGGGGTTTTTTCGCGACCCAAAAAAAGCGCCGCCGCCCCCACTGTGGTGATAGGGGGTTTGTACACCACCCCCAAAACCCCAAATCACCCCTCAACTGACGCCCCCGGACCCTGTGTCAGGATTTTTAACTAACGCTATTATTGATACAGTTTCTGTACTATATTGGTATGAGAAGCTTCCGGAATTGCCAATTCCCTCTCCGCGGTAACATTTTGCTGCGGTGCAGGGTGGGCAGATTTTGGAAAATTTTGGAGGGAGGGTTTTCGGACCTTCGTTTGTTATTTTTTTTTATTTTTGTGTCCGGGTCGTGGCATTCCCCACGCAGCGGAAAAACGGGGATTTCCGAGGAGGGACCCCCCCCCCCCCCCGCAGAATCCGGAAAATGGCCATCTCATTTTTGGCACAAAAATATTTTTGTGATTTTTTTAAAACCACCAAAACCCAAGAAACATAATTCCTTGCCACTCACAACGCACGATACACACACACCCGCTGTCCCTTCACATCAGATTCACGGGTACGACCATACTTGGCCGAATGCACCATATCCCGTCCGATTTGTGAAGTTAAGCGGCCACAGGCCCCGCTAGTACGGCGATCAGTGATGGCGCTGGAACCCGGGGTGCCGTACCCTTTGATTTTTGTTTTTTTTTTCTTACTTTTTTCTTCACGCGTGCAAGTGCCCATTTGGGCGCCAAAACACACAACACACCAACAACAACAACCAAAACACGCCGCGGCGGGCGTGGCGAGGGGGTTTTTTCGCGACCCAAAAAAAGCGCCGNCCCCCAAAACCCCAAATCACCCCTCAACTGACGCCCCCGGACCCTGTGTCAGGATTTTTAACTAACGCTATTATTGATACAGTTTCTGTACTATATTGCTCCGATTGTTCCATTGCGCTTTTTGAGGTTGTTACGTGCGACGTTACGTGTTTGTGAGTGTTTTTAAGGTGATTGGCGAGTTTTGAAAAATCACATACACCAATACCTTGTCACCACAGACCTCTCAGAGAGCCACACTTGGGACTTGCGTGCTGCTAAATTTTTTCGAAGTTCTTTTTATCTCCTCGAACGGTTTTCAGCTTTGAATTAAGCCGACCGAGAGGAGTAAAAAGCACCCCCCGACTCAAAATACTGAGTCCAAAATCGTTCCTTTGTGACACCAGAAATCCGCTTCAAGGGCCTATAGAGTGCACTTCTTGACCCTCAGGAGTCAAGAAAAGGAGGTCGATTTTTTCGAGGGGAAAAAATTTTTCCAGCAGCAAAACCACACATCGTAGAGACCATCTAACCTCGCTCTATTAAGTGTGGAATTTAATTTTAAAACAAAATTTCACACACGGGAGATATACTAAATTTGTCCTAAATAAGGGAGAAATTTGGTATATTTTGGGTGTCACCTGGGAACCTTCGGACCCTTGTTGACATACGAAAAAAGTGTGTAGAAATCTGAAAATTGTACGCTAAAATACCTGCCGGACCGCAGTTATTTTTAGCAAAAATTAAATCGCAAAACCGAGAGTTCACCCGTGAGATATCGACACTCAAAGGTTTTACCGAAGTACATTTTCGGCAAAACTGCGAGTTCGAAGAAAGTGACTCGAGGTGAAAATTTTGTAACAAACAAAAGCCCGTCGAACCGATTACGG